ACTGTGCACTCAGGAGGTGCTTCTGAGGCTGCTGAAAACCCACAGCAGACCAAGGTGCAGGGGATTCCACTGAGTGTGTCAGGTTTGACAAGGAGCACTTTGAATAGCAAAGTAGGATCAGGATATTTTGCTTCATTTAAAACTCCCCAAAAGTTAAATTTTTTAAATTCAGTTTTTAGGTGCTGGAAAAAGATGATTTTGTACAATGACATGTTAATGATCATCTAAGATTCTAATCCAAATTTTTGTTGCCTTACATAAAAGAGGTGAAATTGAAAAACTCTAAACATATTCAAAACAGCATAGTATCACTGTGGTAATTCTTTCCAAAAGGAAAAGTTTATTTGAAGTTATTTGATGTTATTTTTTTCAATGAAAATGCCACTTGATGAATAAATTCTGTTTTAAAATTTGTTCTTCATGGATTAGTTCTCATAAATATTTCATTAATACAGTGCAAAATAACAGGTTATGTTATTATATGTAATAGGATAAGTAGTTAACTATAATCAAATACATAACTCCTAAAAGCCTCATCTCTATAAGGTGATACCATCGGCAAAGTAGTCACAGTTAATTGCAGTATTTCCTTCTCTGGAGTCTGTCCCAGAAGATGGGATGTCTCTGACTGATGTCTAGGGATGGATGTTCAGTGCCATGACTGGACAGCCCAGAGTGTCTTTGCTTTATTCTGAGACCAGCATGAAAGGTTCCCACTAAACACTGAGAATTATGCTGTGTATTTTGGAGGCAAAACTAATCCTTGTTCTATCTTTTCTTCTACTGATGTAGGCCATGGGGAAATGCAATTGGGTAACTGCAGTACAGAATCAATTTAGTTATGAAAGTTCTTAACTAATAGCCAAAGTTCCTTAAATACTATGATTTTTGGCTAGACATGAAACACAGCTGTGTGGAGAAAATCCTTTGAGTAGTTGGATCTATTACAGAACCACAGAATATGCTGAGTTGGAAGGGACCCATCAGGATCATCAAGTGCATCTCCTGGCCCTGCAGAGAACATCCCCAAGAAATCAACACCATGTGCCTGAGAGCATTGTCCAGATGCGTCTTGAGCTCTGTCAGGCTTGGTGCTGTGACCACTTCCCTGGGGTCCAGTGCCCAACCACCCTCGGGGGAAGAACCTTTTCCTGATATCCAACCTAAAGCTCCCTCAGTTCAGCCTCCTGCTGTTTCCTTGGGTCATGTCACTGGTCACAAGAGTGAAGAGATCACTGCTTGCCCCTCCTCTTCCCCTCACAAGGATGCTGAAGACCACAATGAGGTGTCTCCTCAGTCATTTCCAGGCTGAAAAGACCCAAGTGACCTCAGCTGCTCCTCATAAGACTTCCCTTCCACACCCTTTACCTTCCTCATGGCCCTCCTTTGGACATTCTTTAATAGCTTAATGTCTTTGTTATGTTGTGGCACCCTGAACTGCCCATAGGGTTCAAGGTGGGGCTCCCCCAGTGCAGGGGACAATCCCCTCCCTTGCCCAGCTGCAATGCTGTGCTGATGCACCCCAGGACAGGGTTGGCCTTCCTGGCTGCCAGGGCACTGCTGGCTCATGTTCAATTCTCTTTTGACCAGGACCCCCAGACCCCTTTCCACAACACTGCTTTCCAGCATCTCATTCCCCAGTCCGATTCCCTGGTCTAGCTCCTTACATTTACATACAGATGGTCTTCTCCCCTGAGTTGTTCATGGTTGTCATCTTTGTGAGTGCATATGATGGCCAGAATGATGCCTCTGTGGTCACAATTTATGCCTTTATAAATCAGGTTTGTTTTGAGGCAGTTGGCTTGAAGCTTTGAGATCTGAGATCAGGAATGCTGGGCAGGTGCAATGGGTTTATTACAATAACAGCTGTGAAAGAGACTGGGATAAAACCACAATCACAAGCAGCACCATAGGACATAGGCTTCTGTCCTCAAGGGAACCTTGTGTCTCATTAATAAACAGACCCATAGCAATTTAGAAGCATTTTGGGAAGTTCCTACTCTCTCTTCAAAATGCATATGTGGCAGAGAGTACTTGTGTGCCCTTGCTCAAGACTCATTCCTTAACACAACACTTCTTGGATAAATGAAATTACATGAGAAAAAAGGCTGGTTTGCTTAACAAGTACTTGTCAAAGTCAGCATTTGCAAAATGTCATGTTTTAGTCTCCACAGCTTGGAACAGGAATGGTCACAGAAGTGTGTGTGCACCTCTGGTCCTGTCCCTGCTGAGGAGCTGGTCCCAGGCAGTGTGGATGTGCTGGTGCTCACTGGGTGAACACGCACAAGTGCCAGGCACCACCTGTGCTTGTGCTGCTCTGGTGTTCCCTCTGACAAGCTGCAGGCTGAACTCGTTAAACTACTGCTGTTTGCTACAAGGAATGACCTGCCAAAAATCTGCACAGCCCTGTGCCACTGGGGCCAGGGGAGCTGGCCCTCCCCACTCACCCCCAGCTGCCCTGTCTCTTTATAAAGAAAAGAAATTAATTCTGTAATAATCCAGAATGGCATTTTTAGCCTTATGTAAAAATGTCGAGGAAGACAAAGATAAGGATTATTTCTTAATTAAATATGGATTTTATTTTGGTTTTTGTTTTTACTCTAAAAGCAAACCAAAACAAGTTTCTGCCAAGAGCTGTTATAGCCCACCCTCTTCCTATTTTTTTTAAATTGTATTTTTATATGCCTGGCAGAATTAATGATGAAAATCTTTCCAGCTGTGACTTTGCCAGAATCCCTTTCTGAAGCTCCTACTAATTTGGATTAAAACTGGATGGATGAAAGCCTCAAACAGCAAATCCTGGCAATAGATTTGCTGAGGCCCCACAGCATATACTCCTCCAACTGTTCTTATCTTCTGAGGAAAGAAAAAAAATTAAACATAATTTTGTAATTACACAGTTGTTAGTATTCTCCCTGCCTTTCACTTCCCTGGGCTGGGACACAGGGTCCCACCACCTCAGCAGCCTGCTGGGGCTCCCCTTCTCCCCTTTTCAGAACAGGCCCCTGACTTTTGCAGAGCAAGCTTTTAATTGCAGAATGGTGGAGTTTTTAAACGCTATCTTGTACCAGCCACACTAAATGTTAACAGCCAGCCTGGATTTTAGAGTGAGTTGCCACCCTGGGATGTAACAATTCAGACTGGAAACAGTGTGTGTGCAAGCTCTCACTGCAAGGGTGAGAAGCCACCAAGCTTCCTGAGTCCTGGCTGCCGGGTGTTCACCTCACTTGCTTAATTCTAGCAGCATTGGCGCCGCGTTGTCTTACTGACCAGGCTTCCTGGAGCCAGCAGCTGCAAGCTTTCCTACTGCCACAGACAATTCAATTAATTTCTTTAAATTGGACAAATCGATCTCTGGCAAGTAGCCCATGTTCCTGCTCCTCTTCCCTCTCGCCAGGAGAGTCTTCTGGAAACTTGTGAGCTTACTAAGCCCTTGCCCCGTGAGTTCCTCCCTTCATGGCCATTCTGAGGCCAAGAAAAGGCAGTGCTCTGAGCATGGGCAGTGCTGTGGGATGCTGACAGCCTTGCCACAGGCTGCCCTTTCCACCAGCACAGCTCCTCCAGGTGTGAGGCTGCAGCTCACAAAGGCACCTAAAAGCTACTTGTGAGCACGATGTCTTAGATCCCAGTGCTTCCTGGAGGGGATGGCAGGAGCTCCTTGCTGCAGATGCTCCAAGCACCTTGCTGGCCTGCCTGGAGCACCTCTTGCATGGAGAAGGAGCATGAATATTACCAGTTATATTGATGGCATAGTCTGTTAATTATTAAGAACAATAGCAACTTTCACCACTTGCAATTTCTGGCAACTCTGAAGAATGTGAAGGAGGTGGCCACTTCTAAAGCATTTTGGGAGATAATGTAGGCACAGCAGCATCTCCTGTCTCCAGGCTGTGCCTGCTGGCATGGAAAGACATGCAGCCCCTCTGTTCTTCTGTGGGAGACCTACCCGTTCCACTAATTTCCAGTGGGCCAAAGGCTTTGTTTTTGTGGGGTGTGCTCCTTGTCCCCATTAGCTGCTGTTTTGATACATCACTGTTCAGCAAGTATGAGCTGAGAGGCTGTCTCCAGCTGCTTTGAGCTTTTCTTTCCTTCTCAGGATGCCTTGAGGTAGTCATAGTGTAGTCTCAAGGCACTTAGTCTCATGTCAGTGCCAAATCTCAAGCAGCTCTGTTAGTGTCCTTGTAGTCAGTGGACAGGGCACTTGTCCATCTGCTCTTCTGCAGCTCTTGCATGTGCACAACTCAGCCTTGCTCATTTAGGAGCTACTCTGGTTGGTAGTGTCTGTTTTTTTACTGAATTTTGTTTACAGTGAAGCCAGTTAATTCACCTTCATTTCATACATGCATATAAGCAACCCCCTGCTTCTGTTGCACTGGATGAGAATATTTGTTGGGGTGTGTTTTTAGTTCCCCCATATTATGGTTTCTCCCTCTCCCCCTCCTTATGTTACATGATCTGTCCCTCCTTCTCCTCCTCCCCCTTTCGCCTGTCAATCCTCCCTTTCCCCACCCCAGTTATATAACTTTCCTCTGAGTCATTCCCCAGACCCCACCCCAGGGCCTGTCTGTCACCCTGAGGCCTCTCCCTTCTATCTAGAACCTTCCAGCCTCTGCCTCAGGTGATAGGCTGATCCCCGGGGACCCCTCCTTCCCCCTCACCTTATTGGATCCCTCCCTTGATTGTCATTCCCTTCACCACTCCCCGGTTATTCCCCATTGGCCCACAGTTGTTCCCTCCCCATGTTGACACCCCCTGTTATAGCCCCTTGCTGGCTGTATCCCTTTGCCTTTTGGGGCATACCCTATTCAGGTTGAGGTGTGTCTCATCGACCACCAATAAACTTGAAGTTTTGGTACCCCCTTAAGGACGACTCCTGCGTCTTTGTCTACGTCCCAGAGGGTCTCTCTCTCGAGTCTGTGCAGCACGACTCACGGGTCACACCCCTCGCCAACGGTGGCCATAGGGGGTGGCCTTTGTTGTCCCGTGTGCCTGACATCTGGCTAGCTGCGGACACCACCATAGGCACCGCAACAACTTGGCGTCAAACGTGGGGCCTGGAATCGCTGCCAGACCCCTCGGACAGGACCAGCGGGGCTGCCGCCCCTGCATTACAAAGCCATACGCGACAGCCTGCAAGAGGTCCGTGGCCGCTGAGTTACCCCCAGTTGTAGCAGGCCTTGTTTTAGAGGTTGCGCTCCTGGGGAACGGGAGAGGCAGCTTCCCTGGAAGTCTCTCCCCGACAAAGACCCCACCCCGGATTTTCTGTTGCCCCTACAGACTTGGTAAGTAGGGAAAACTCCCTACATCTTTTCTTTCTTTCCCCCTTCATTTTCTCTTCTTTTGGGTGCGGGACGAGGGGATTCTTTCCTCTTTTGTTCCCTGGGTGGGGGGAGAGATTTTGGGCTGTCCGGTGGGGGCTGTTTTGATTCTTTTTCCTTTTTTCTCCGAGGTGGGATTTTCATTTGCTCTGCACTGCACTTTAAAACAATGCAATGGGCAATAAGCTGTCCGCAGAGCAGAAGGGGGTCTTTCTCCAAGTTTTGGGTGTCCTAATGGGGGGGTGGGGTGTCTGTTAAGAAAAACCAAGTTAAAGATCTAGTGAGATGGCTCTTTCTCTATTTCCCGGAGGTGACTACCACCGAAAAGGTAACTGATATTCAATTTTGGGATCAAGTTGGCCAGAAATTAACAATTTTAGGAAAAACGGGGAGCAGTCAGATTTCTAAATTAACATTTTGGGCCTTACAAATTTGAACAATTCTAAAATCAAAAGAGGGGATGGAGACAGAGCCACCATCTAATAGATCTTCCCCAGTTATGTTCTCCCCTAGCCCTCTTCCCTCCCCGGTTTCCCCCAGACCTGGGATTCTGAGGGGAGCAACCCGTGATCCACCGCGGGGCTGCTACCGCCTCCCTGGCTCTCCTCAGAATTCCAGATCTCCCCGCCTGGGGAGTCATGGACGTCCGACTCCCCAGGAAATTTCCAGTCCCCGTTTCTCCCCGAAATGTACAGCGCTATCCAAAACAATCCCCCAAGTTTGTTAGGTTTAATGTCCCCGATTCTCCTTCTCCTCAAAATGGCCCCCGGAGAAGTCAAGATGGCGGAGGCCGCATGGCTTTTCCCGCCTCTTGTTCTTCCCCTCAAAATGGCGCTGGTGCCGAGGGGAGACAAGATGGTGGGTGCCACGTGGATTTTCCCACCTCTTGGTCTTCTCCTCCCCAAAATCCCTTTCTTTTCTCCTCCAACCCCTTCTGGTCCTTCGACCCTTCCCCAGGTTCTCGCTCCTCCCTCTCCGTTGCCCCTCCTCCTCCTGGCAACCCCGCCCTCAGCTCCGCCCCCAGTTCCCATGAGTTTTGCCCCTCCCCAGGTTACGCCCCTAACCTAGTCCCTCCCCTAGCCACTCCCCTCAGGCAGAAGGCCCTCCTCCCATGGGCTGCACCCACTCCCTTGGCCCCTCCCATTTGTAACCATCTTCTGGTTCCCACAGTCCCCCTTCCGGTTCCCACGATTGTGGGGCCCGGGGGGTGGGGCCGGGGAGCAGAAGCTGCTCTCAATTACCAACAGGTTCCCTTCCCAGTAAAACCAGTCCCACACAGACCCTTCTGGCTGCGCCGGTGACCTACATCCCACTGGCCGAGGGCGGCACTCGTGCCCAGTGGACTCTGCTGCCGTTCCAGGTTACCAAAGAGCTATGCAGAGCGCAGCGGGAGTTCATTCGGGAGAGCAAGTGCTTCCAGGGGATGTTGATGCCACATTATCAACGGACCTTACCCCCACCGACGTCCGCCAGCTCTTCTCCTGCCTCTTGACTCCTATGGAGTTCTTGAGGTGGGAGACAGAGTGGCGGAAGGAAGTCCGGGCCTCCCTTTTACAACTTTGGGAGAACCCGGCCACCGCTAATGACGCGGGGGGAAGGATGCTCTCCACCGACCACCTCTGCGGACAAGCAGAGTGGGCCGATGGAGGGCGACAGGCCGCAGAGATCCCCCGGAATGCATTGCGAGAATCCGTGCGGGTGGCGGAAAGGGTGTTTTTAAATCTTAAACCTAAGGGTCCGGTCTTGAACTACCTAGAGATTGTGCAGGCCCCCAATGAGACGTTTTTAGATTTCGTCGAGAGGCTCCTCAGGTCGGTGGAGCTCCAGATTAAGGATGAGACCGCGAGGCAGGAGGTGCTGCGTGAGATAGCGGCTGTCAATGCCAACACCCAGTGCAAAGCAGCCATCCTGAGCCTCCCTCTGGAGCCGAAACCAACCCTGCAGGATATCTTGGAGGTTTGTGAAAAGAAGGTTGACCTCTCGATGACAGAAGATCCACCTGCTGGGGGACCTGCACCGGCCACACCACCGCCATCCAGACCAAGACCAGCCCGACATGCCTACACCTCCAACGCCGGACCACCGACACCACATCATCGCTCTTGACCCATGCCGCGCAGCCAGAAACCAGGATACCAGTGCTATTTGTGTAGGACTCTGGGACATTGGTTTGGGGACTGCCTCCTTAAAAGGGAATTCCAGCACTTTAGGAGACAGCAAGGCGGAGTCCCCTCATGTCCAGCTAGCCCAAGCACTGTTCACACACAATTTTCTAAATTGTGCATTTGAAAACCTGAACTCTCCCATCACACGGCGCTTTACAACCTACCCTCAGCTGGAGCTGAAAGAAAAGCCCCCGGTCCTTATAAAAGACCCTGAAGCCTGGAAGTTACAAGGACCATTCGAACTTATCGCCAGGGAGCGGGGATACGCATGTGTGGCTACGCCATCAGGACTAAGATGGGTGCCTGCCACGTGGGTGCGCCCGTATATTACAAAATCAGTCCAGGCTACATTAACCCGGCAAGTCAAGGATGTCTGTTGGAGGAGAAGGCGACGGATCAATTCAATTTAATTAACCCTCGCTAATTCTGTGTTTATATTTATTTTACAGCCTCAGCCCGAGACCATCAGAACAACATGAACCCCAACCACCTGCTCATCCTACTATGCCTCATCATCCCCAGCTATACGTGGATCATTCCGCAGCCAACCAAAAACTTGACTTCCAAGGCTGGGGATGTCCGGAAAGCCATCAACCAAATGAGAGACATGATTAAGGACATCAAAACAGAGACTGGGGATGGGTTGAGTGACCTGGTGGGAAATTGGGGTATCTCGGGCTGGGCCACTTCTATTTTACATTCAGGTTTAGTGATTGTGTTTATTCTTATTTTAGCCCTTGTTGTGTTCAGGATTCTGAGACGGTTGGTGTCCAACCTTATCACTAAAGCTCTAACAGTCCACGCCACGAACCCGGCTGTGCTCCTCTCTGCCCAGGGACCCGAGGTGGATGAAGAAGACCAACCAGTCCCTGAACCAGAAGGACCCTGGGTGGAGACAGCTCCCACCTGCCAGCCGTGGTTCGCCGACACCTACCCGGACTCAGAATTCCTACCCCGACCCAAATTTAATTCATTTTAAGAGACTTTTAAAGACTTTTATGGACTTTTTCACCAAGTTTTTCGTTTTGTTTAAAACAAAAAAGGGGGAGTTGTTGGGGTGTGTTTTTAGTTCCCCCATATTATGGTTTCTCCCTCTCCCCCTCCTTCTGTTACATGGTCCGTCCCTCCTTCTCCTCCTCCCTCTTTCGCCTGTCAATCCTCCCTTTCCCCACCCCAGTTATATAACTTTCCTCTGAGTCATTCCCCAGACCCCACCCCGGGGCCTGTCTGTCACCCTGAGGCCTCTCCCTTCTATCCAGAACCTTCCAGCCCCTGCCTCAGGTGATAGGCTGATCCCCCGGGACCCCTCCTCCCCCCTCACCTCTTTGGATCCCTCCCTTGATTGTCATTCCCTTCACCACTCCCCGGTTATTCCCCATTGGCCCACAGTTGTTCCCTCCCCATGTTGCCACCCCCTGTTATAACCCCTTGCTGGCTGTATCCCTTTGCCTTTTGGGGCATACCCTGATCAGGTTGAGGTGGGTCTTGCCGACCACCAATAAACTTGGAGTTTGGTACCCCCTCAAGGACGACTCCCGCGTCTTTGTCTACGTCGCAGAGGGTCTCTCTCTCTCGAGTCTGTGCTGCAGGACTCACGGGTCACACCCCTCGCTTGTGGTGGCCATAGGGGGTGGCCTTTGTTGTCCCGTGTGCCTGACATCTGGCTAGCTGCGGACACCACCAGAGGCACCGCGACAAATATTTATGAAATAGTTTTGCCCTCTTCATTTTCATCTACTTTGTCCATCCAAAAATGAGCCAATTTGCTTTTGATATACAAGAAAAAACAGTAATTCAAGAAACACCCAGGAGAGCAAACACCCAAAGATCAAAATCTCTCTTGCTCTCTTGGCAGTCACAGAATTTATTTCCTTTTGTCCATTTTATCAGGTTTGTGGCTCATAATTTCTATGAGCTGCTGCCTACTTCTCCTTTTATCGTGGGTTATCTAAATATTTGTGCAGCTAATTTTATTTCCCCTTTCACTAGATTGTTACTTTATATGTATGATGCTTTGGGGAGCTGATGGGTAAGATAGAAATTCTGCTTGGGAGTACTGGGTTGCACTTCATGAAAGGTTCTGCAGATGAGTTATTGCTCCACAGCAAGTCCTCAGCCTGCGGTTTCACAAGCATGGATGCTAATGTGACAGTGCAGTGCTGCTGACAGGAATGGGGTTTGTGCCTTTTCCCTATTCCCTGGTCCTGGCTTTCTCACCCTCTACTCAGCAGAGTTACACTTACACTGACCATGATTCTTACTGGAGCATTTCTTGTGCCAGTTCAGCATACTAAGCCAGCATAAAACTGGCGGTTTTGCTGAAACAGATTATCCCAAGGAAATTAATCTGCGCCTTCTGAGGTGACCTGTTGGATCAGCTTGTGGTCATGAAGCTGTGGTCTCTGTCACATCACTCCTAGACCTCAGGCTGACTGTGGAGGCTGTGAAGCTCTTTGTTGAATTGCCCAAGGACCTTCTGGCAGAAGGAAAGCAAATGATGGTCTTTTGTGTGACAGAGACTGTGGCTTCATAACCACCATGAGCTGATCCAACAGCTCACCTCAGAAAAAGGAAATTGAGACCATGCCTTTGAGAAAAGGGACAATACACTAAAGTGAGAAGGGCTGCCTTTGGGGGTTGCTTATTGACTTGAGACTTAATGCTTTATTACATTTTTCCCTTAACTGAAGAGCTGTGTTGTGGGTGCTGAAAGATTTCTTTCCTTCTTGTGATCTAGGGGCAAGGTGTGCCAGAGTTAACACAGGAGCCATGAAGATCAGTAGTGGAGATACAAATGATCCATGCGATTTACCACCTTGGAGGGGCATAAAGAGATCTGCAGCTCTGCAGCATTTGCAGTCTCTCTTCATATTTTGGAGGGTTTTAAGGTATGGAGAAGTCCAACCACAGTATATGCCACAGAGCAAAAATCACCTTTTTTTGTGCATGTGATTGTGGATATTTATTATTCAGATGGTCTCTTTTAAAATACCTCCTAATTACTACTTTTCTTTTCCTTTCAAAATCTCTCCAAGCTGATTTGGCTTGTAATAGTTTCCAACACTGTGAAAGTGGCCCTTTTGGAATACAGTGTTTCTGCTTTGGTCTTTGGCCTATTTGGAATTGCATCTCAGTGGCTACTGGTTTTGATTGAGAAATCAGTCCCTTTCTCTCAGTCTGTCGGCTGAGGGTTGTCCTGGGATTCCTTTCATTTCGATGCTGCAATGTATTAACCAAAGCATTTCAAGAGCATGCCTGGATAGTTGGTGTGAGGATGCTGGGCTGTTGATTTTTTTCTCTGTGTGGTTTGGTGAGACAGTCCTTGTCGGTGTGGGTAAAGTCTTGAGTAGGAGGACGTAAGCCAGACTGAAGATGTGAGATCACTGACTGGTTAATCCCACCCTGAATAATACGAGGGAGCAGCAGTGTTGTGTAGCAGGTTGTCACTTGCCCACCAAACAGCAGCACACAGAGGAGTTTTGGGAGGTGCCATGTGGGGATATTTTTACTAGACATGCTGAGATGATGAAGTGGTACAAGAGTGACAGAGCAGCAGCTGTGACTGCAGTGGGTAACCCAGAGTTTATATCCTGCCTGAAGCAGGAAGGTGGTTGCTGTATGAGAAATGAAAGAACACATTCATCTCGGGGCTAGGGAGCATTTCCTTGTGTGGAACATCTGCCTTCAGGAAGGCAGGGTTAAGACTGTTTGCTGTGGCCCTTCCTTCTGCAGATTATATGGGAACCCAGAACTCCTTATCCTGCAATGTTTCCAAATAGAGAACTTACAAAGTTACTTTTGTTGGAATTCTGGATGCTGGAATCCTGGACTTCTGTGCTGAAAGGCACAGAGCACACAAGAACATTGCATCTGACCTGAGGCTGTGGAGAAGAGTTTAAAAATTGATTGATAGTATGGGGATTACTGAGTATGTAGTTGGTTAGAAGTGTGTAATATCACGGGGTGAAAAACTTAGAGGTTGGGGTTTTAGAATATAGAAATAAATATGAAGCAAGATGGAGGTTTTAGGGTGGAGACAGGTTGTTCTTCTTTACCTTCTTCTTCCTTCTTCTTCATGGGTTTGGGTCATGTTTTGTGATTGGACAGAAAGGTCTGCATTGCGGGCTTCGAGGGATCAGTTATTGGGTAAAAGGGAAAATAATCTAGGTTTCATTTCTTAATTAGATACTTTACTTTTAAAAGGCCTTGTAGCAAGAGTTAGTTAGCCATTTTGTGCCTTGCTAATGAAAAGCTGCCAAACTCATGGTTGTGAGACTATTTCACTGATAAGAAATAGTAAACATCTGAGTCTGAACATGGAAAGCTGTCTCAAGTGCCTTCAATCCCAACCTTGAGAAACCAGTAACTTTGTGTATTTATGTAAACCACAAGTTCTCAGGCTCTCAAGATAAGAAAAAAAACATTGATTTGTTCAAACAGGTCTAGAGGAAGCCACAAAGATGATCAGAGGGCTGGAGCACTCTCCCAGGATGACAAACTGAGAGTTGAGGTTGTTTAGCATGGAGAAGAGGAGGCTCCAGAGAGACCTTCTGGCAGCCTTACAGTACTTAAAGGGGAACTACAGTAAAGATAAAGAGGGGAATATTTATCAGGGAGTGTAGTGATAGGAAAAGGGGTAACAGTTTTAAAATGAAAGAGGGTAAGTTTACATTAGATATTAGGGAGAAATTCTTCCCTGCAAGGTTGTTGAGGCACTGAAACAGCTTTCCTAGAGAAACTGTGGATGCCCCATCCCTGGAAATGTTGAAGCCAGATTGGATGCAACCTGAGCTCTGAGCAACCTGGTCGAGTGGAAGGTGTCCCTGCCTATGGCAGGGGAGTTGGAAAGAGATGATCTTTAAGGCCTCTAATGCTCCTATAGTTTCATAATTTGAGTGCCATGCATTCCTGAATGCATTTGTACTCAGAAGATCCATATGAAATAGACATTTTTCCCATGTTAGAAATGGGACTTGCCCAAGGCCATACATGATGTCATGAAAATGAACATCTCCCAAATGTCAGGCTAGCTCCCAAACCACTCCACCAGCTTTTCTTCTAGGGCTGATCACAACCAGCTCACAAATCCGTATATCCACTGGGATTTTTTTCTGTGCTAGGAGATCAGGGAAGCAAAATGTTCTGGATCTGTAAATCTTAACTTGGATCTATCTGTAAAACTAGTAGTTTCATAGGTTCTGTTGTAGCATTTAATATTTTACTGCTTGTAGGCACTATTTACATTGATTTGCATTCTAACTGGAAAGAACCAAAGAACCACAGGACTGTACTAAAAATACATGAAAGAATGATTTTAAAATAAGTGGGGAAATTCATGTTGAATGTTCTCTTGAACAAAACTTCCTAGTACCATGAGAAACAATGCAAGTGAATTTGTCACTTACTGTTCAATTTTTCTGGACAATTAGTACAATCTTAAAGTAAATCTTCAAAGGTTGTAATCTGCACAATTGGTTTCATTCACTTTGGCTTGTCAGTTGTAAGAAGGCTACTCTTTATTTTATACTAAACTACAGCAAACAGATCAAGACCTAGGAAACTGAGAAAATCAATCCTTTATTGTAGCAGTTATCTTCAAAGCTTGTCTGAAAGATTTCTTGCAGAAAAGCCATCTGTGTTAGGATTTCAAAAGTAAAAAATGAATGCCTATGATTGCTAACATCAAGAAAAAATAATTTATCTATGGAATATTGCTACTCTGTGAGCACTGATGGTGCTGGGACTGAAACACACTCATAGATTTTCATTAAAACTGGAGTTGTTGCTTATCCTCCACATCTAAACCAAGTGTCTGCCTTATTTAAATCAGCATTGGGCTGAGATACCCAGCACGAGAAACAAGAAGAATAACATTTAATTTTTAAGAAAGCTTTCTGCTATTAATGGCAAATCTTCATGGGAGTCATACGAGAGCGGAGATGTCATTTAAAACTTACTGTTCTTCCATGTCACCTTCAGGCACATTTTACCAGATCTGAAATCTATAGCAGTGTTGACACTATTCTCTCACTCCAGAGAGAATAGACCATTCAGTCCTCCTCCATCACTCAGCAGAGCTGTGACAAGGTGAAGAGAAAAACATCACAACATTTCAGAGAGGCTGTCTTAGCCTTCTTCACAGGATGCAGCACATCAGCGCAAAGAAGAGGACGGCGTGGTGAGGTACCTCCAGCACATGCCCAGAAGATTATTTTCAAAGTTTTATGTTTGTTCTTCTAGAAATGAATTCCCATTATATGATGATGGATATTTTCAGTCTTAAAGGTAAGAAACCAGACTATCAGATTACTGGCTACCAGATATGGATAACTGATCGTGTTGGCTGTTCCGGCAGCCTGTGATTTAATGTCTGTGCTTAACTCTGCCTTTCTAGCATTTACTGCTGCAGATGGATACTGGACTGCTGTTCCTAAATGAAGTTGGAATAATAGACTCTAGAGATGGAAAAATACCTAATGGTTCATTTCCCCATAGATGCCAAGAAGACGTTATTAAAAAAAAACAC